GAAGCAAGAAGTTCTTCTGTGTGTAAGTAAGTCATGAAATAGTGTGGGAGCTGGAGAGAAAATGCGTTCAAAGAGAGTTTTGGGGGTTTGGTTTTAATTTTAGGGAGTATCATTAAATACCAGTGTAATGCTGACACGTATAATCCCATAGATCAGAATAGACTGATTAGGTAGGAGAAGGACTCATTATTTAGAGAAGGAAAGTCCTTGAGAAAGTAAGTGGGAGTGAGATCCAGGGCACAGGTGGTGGGCTGGCTTTAGATTATGAGCTGGAGCTATTATTTTGGGGAGAGATGGCAGAAGAAATGAAAACAGATGCAGGTGGTTTAGTAGAATTGGTGATGCCAAGCTAATGAATGAATTCCAATAGTGTTGCACATATTAGCTCTTTGAAATACATTGTAAAAAAGAAATTGGCTGCAAAATGAAGAATGGACAATGAACTGTGGAGTTTTGAGGAGATAAGAAAAGATATTAAAAATCAGTCTCAATTAATGAGAATTTTTACCAGGGCATAGCTGTGTATACCAGTAGAATAGGTGGTGAAAAGCCCTGCGAAATTTCAGTCATGTATTTGAGGTGAGTAGTATGAACAACGTGGTGAAATTTTATCCATTAAGCTGCTCAGGTTGAGATGTGGAGTAAGATGAGAGAAGTTTAATCAGGGTAGGGGTTTTGCCAGGGAAGTAAAATGAAGAAAAACAGGGAGATATTAGGAGTGTTTGCAAGAGAATTGGTTAGAGTGCTTGACCAAGGACTCTAGACAGGTTAAGGAAATTTTCAAAATGTTGTGAGTGCAAAGTCATAGCTATTGAAAATAGTGATAGAGTTCATTGATTTGGAGCTTGAACAATTGGTGAAATAAGAACACTACAGCAGAGGTACTGAACAAATAGAATGTCATGGTCAAAAAGTATGAAATAAAAATGTTATAGGATAGAAAAAATGGTAATAACAAGATCCAGGCTATCATCATGTGAAGGGATGGCTAAATGAGGAAGAGAAAAATACATTGACACTAAAGAGACTGAGAAACTACAGGTTAGGGTTTTGTCAAAGATATGACTGATTTGGCTGAACATTTCTTGCACTTTGGCTCTTTGCAATCTCGTTTACATAGTTGTTGCAGTAAGAAGAAGCTGACAGATAGCTAGTAGAAACTGAGATTAACTTCTCTTTAATTATTCTGACTCTAGTCACTGATCACTCAACATTCATTTCTGAGTAAGAAATACCTGGGCTAAATTGATCTGTGAAGACTTTGAACTAGTTCATTCAACCTGGATAAATGTGAAGGACCACCACAAGTGGTCCAAGATTCCCCTCAGCAGCTTCGAAGTTTCCCATCAACAGAAGTTATAACATGACTTTTAGTTAAGCCTATATGCAGTGGTCCTGAGATAAATCTTAGCTAAGTGAGATCCAAGATTTTCTGCTTACGCCACAGCCAGAGCCTGCTAAAGTGATTAACAGCACCCTCGGTCAAGGGCACCTGAGATTCTACAGTGTTCTGAGAGAACTAGAGAAATTATATGTAAAATATGTAGAAAAATGAGTTTCAAGTAATAGGTGAGAAATTAATAATAATTATTGCTAATTGATAAATATCTCACTTTTGAAGTTTACCATAGGGACATCTGTTGGTTTAGCCTCATTAGAATTCACTGACATTTATTTTGGTAACAACTCCTGTTCTCGTTCTCACTCTTAGTCTAGGTAATTTGTTGGGTGGGGCTGCTCAATCCACAGCTCGAGGGTGGGCCCAAGACCCAGAGAAATTGACTTAGGGATAGACATACGACGACATTGCTCCCATAAGAATCATCCCAGGGATTTAACTGGAACGAAGGGGAAAAGATGCTCTCCTTCCCTTAGGTTGCCAAGACTGACTGAATGTATCCGTTAGGATGAATTTGGCTATAGCAATCAGAAAATCCTGACACACTTAGCTTATAAAATAAAGGGGAAAAATTTTTACATAAGGTGAAATCCACAGGTAAAGAATTTTCCAGGGGCATATAAGCAGCATTTCTTTTGGCTTTTCTTCTCCCTTTGTTTCTTTTGGTTTTCCTTAGTTTATTTAGCTTCTGGGCAATAAAATGACTACATCAGTCACATTGTCCTACAACATCACGGAGAGGCAAAACCCTTCTCTTTCTTGGGTCTACTTTAAAGACTTAAGAAAATTCCCAGGGAGCTGCTCAACATGTCAAAATTGCAACACAAGCCCATTCTTAAAACTGTCTCTGCCAGGGGAAGTGAGGCCACCAAGATTGGCTTAAATTAATCAGAAACTTCTCTTCCTTGTGAAGAAGTAGATGTCTGAAAAAAAAAAAAACTGGGTCCACATGAAGGAACTATGTGCATAGCTAGGAATAGGCTATGGTAATGTTTGCTCAACAGCTGGGAATAAAGCCAGCACAGAAGAAAACAAAGGCGAAGTGACGGAGGGCTGCCTGCATGCGGTAGTACTTAGGAATTTACGCATGACATGAACCAACAAATTTCTTTCATGCTTAAGCTCCAGATGAGCCAGATTCTACCATCTGCACCAAAAGTTCACTCGCTAATGCTCTCACTCAAAGCATTCCTCTGAATCCAACAGGTCTTTATTTTTATCCACATGAACTATAAAAATCCTTCAGAGTTTCCCAGCTCTGTTCTACCAGCCATTCTTAAACATTCTCTTTTTTCTCACCTCTTGCTTTTTCTTATGTTGCTCTCTTAACTTGCTACTTTTCTGTGTTCATGGCTACCTCTTAAAATCTTAACTATCCCTCATAACTATATTTCAAACATCATCTTTTCCTAAAGCACTTCTAAAAAATCTCAATGTAATATGGTTTCCCCTTCACTTGAACCCCAGAGCAACTCTCTGACTAGTATTTCAAATGTACACATGTAGTATACTAAGATTTCATATAAAAACAACCTTGGAGATAAAAATTTTTAATTATTCTTGTAATGCAGAAGAAAGCAGAGAGGTTAAGTGACTTGCACAACATCTAGATTAGAACCTGGGTTTAACACTGAGATCCACACTCTTCCTCCCTGCCCCTCAGGAGCACCTCTGTCACTGCCCCACTATCATGTGATCTCTTGACTTGTGAATTACATCTTACTCAACTTTAGTTTCCTATGGTACATGTATTATGCTTTGTATATAATACATATGGAATAAATATATTTGGTTAATTGAATTCTTTGGTTTTATATATAGATCTAGATTTATCAATGATTGCTGATTGGTCAACACAGATATTTCTTTGTATAAGTGCGGGTAGGCCAGTAGTATCTATCTTTTTAAAAGCACATCTTGGCTATCAAAGGCAAATTCCAGATAGTTATTGCCACCAATTTGCAGAGTAAGCCATTCTATGCAGCCTCTGCAAAACAAGTAAGATAATTTGACAAAGAGAATGTTTCAGTATTCACTTTTAATGAGTACTACATACAAAGAAAAGATTTCAGGAAATTAATATCATTTCCTCAAACCCGGAAGTTGAATACTAGTTAAGAAAATAGTAACTTCATGCTGTGAAATTAGACAGAAATTATCATTAGTCATATATTTATCTAGAGAATTAGTCAGATTTCATGTTACTATGCTGCCTGGAATCTGAAGAGAGAAGAGGTAGAAAGAATTGTCAGTCCATCTTAAAAAATAAAATAAAATAAAAATAAAACCTGCAAAAAGACTAGGTTTTAAACCTCATTTGACCTTTGTCAGATAATGCCAGTATTAGTGACCTGTTCTAGGGGGTCCTGCAAACCAGAGAAAAGGAGGAAAAAGATACTTCTCTCTAGATATTCTGTCTGGGGAAAAAAAAAAGGGAAAAGAAAAAAAGGGGTACTTTCCTCAATTTTTTTCTTAAGGTCATAAATTTAAATGTTCATCATTAACATATTCCAGCTCATTGATTTACTACACAATGTATATACATTGATGTACTACACAATATAGTCAGAATTCATTTTCTTTAAATGAAATGTTTAAAAAAAATGAAATGTTTAAAATAACAACTCAATCACAGTCTTCCTTATTTTTTCTCATTTTTCTAAAAGGTCCAAAACTATAAACACACCGACCAACAATAACCCTTCAAAGTAGGTGAAAAGACCTTGCACGCCCTTTACAAATAACATTTTTAGTGATTAATAAATGAACAATGAGATGGCAACAGCCATCAAACAAGAGATAAGATACCACCGGTCATTGCATATCATTCCAGGAACTTGTGTTGATTGCAACATAGATGTCTGTCTACATGCCTTCAAGTAGGGTGAGGCCTGTTCTGCTTTTCTTAAGTTCATCTTTGATCTCTGGTTATTGGATCTAAAGTAAAGTCATATTTTTTGTTGTTGTAATATTTTTTCTTATCTCTACGAGGTGTAGAGCCTCTGAATTTGATTGTTGTTAGTTGTGGTAAAATTGTCAAAACTTAGGCATTAACTTATGAGAATGTTTTGATTATATGCTGTGTTTCAGGAAATCTGAAGACTAAATCACTCACAAAAAATGCTATAGCAAATTAGATATATAATTAGATGGATGTTTATAAGGATTAGATAGATAGATAGATGGACTATCACAAGCCGTATCATCGTCCTCAATAACATTACATAATCTTTTTTCTGCACCAATAATATTTCCTAATATTCATCTGTTATCTTGTGTCTGTTTCCAAAATGTAGAAGACACCATTTACTTTTTTTTTTAAAGATTTATTTATTTGAGAGAGAGAGAATGAGAGATAGAGAGCACGAGAGGGAAGAGGGTCAGAGGGAGAAGCAGACTCCCCACTGAGCAGGGAGCCCAATGCGGGACTCGATCCCAGGATTCCAGGATCATGACCCGAGCCGAAGGCAGTCGCTCAACCAACTGAGCCACCCAGGCGCCCCAAGACACCATTTACTAATCAATTAAATTTCTTTTTTTATCATCAGATGCCATTATTTATTTCAATCTCATTGACCTCCTCAGGTCTGGAAACACTTACTGTTCTTTGCATTAGCAGAGGAGAGTCTGTTCCTTCCTCTTTAAAACTTGACTCCATACCGATTATATCCTCAATTACGTCTTCCATCTAGCAAAATATAATACATTTAGAATACTGTGCATAATGATAAGAGTTGTGCTTCAGCCTGAATTCAGAGAGAAAAAATTTAGCAATCTTTAAAAGTTTTAAAGAATATTGAAATTAAGGTTATATGTATATCAAAACCCAGACTACTTTAGAACTTAAAATGAAGAAATCCTGCCACTCTTTGATCTGTGTTGTTTTTCCACGCATTTGCTTCCACCAGCTGGCAGGTGATGGCTGGGCAATCACCCTGGGCTAGTCCCTTGGAAATCAGTATCTATATAAATAGAGTGGTTATCATGGAGTGCCTCAAGCCAGAGCCCATGTAATTAACATGTAGAGAGATGACTTCCTACAAACTTTCCTTTCCTTTTGAAAAGTTTTGATTGCATCTTACAGGTGGATATTCAAATAGCAGTGGTCAAACCAGCCAATTGGTCCACATGGATACAAACTACATGGAAACATATTATCCAGCTTTCCCTAATGGCTAATAATAATAATAGAATATCAACAACAGCAATAATCACTGACACCTTAAATAGTAACAAAAGCAAACATATAGTTGGAGCGGGGGGGGGGATATGCCAGGCACTTTCTCTGTGTTTTGCATACATCAACTCATTTAATCTCCACAACAACTATGAAGTGGATACTATCATTACCTGCATTGTACAGATGAGGAAACTGAGAGGGAAAAAAAAGTGCTCAATAACTCATTCCAGATGACAAAACTGGTGAGTGACAAAGGCAGGATTGAAATTCTGGAAATCTGGCCCTAAAGTCCTAATTTAAGTCAGCTTTTTATTCCTTTTCTCGATTCCTTTCTAAAATAGCCTTCCTTCCCTCCTGTACTTTAGCTGGAGAAGATTTTAAAAGCTTGTACTTAAAAAAAAAAAAAAAAAGAAGGGAGACAAACCATAAGATACTTGTAACTGCCAAGAACAAACTGAGGATTGCTGGAGGTAAGTGGTTGAGAGAATGGGCTAAATGGGGGATGGGGATTAAGGAGGGCACTTGTGATGAGCACTGGGTGTTATATGTAAGTGCTGAATCACTAAATTCTATTCCTGAAATCAATAGTACACTACATGTTAACTAACTAGAATTTAAATAAAAACTTCAAACAACAAAGAAAAGTTTCTCATCAAACCAAAAATAAATAAATAAAGGCTTGTATTTTAAAAATACCATGCTTGCCCCCTCTTTCTCTCTCTGGCTCTAGCTCTCCTCTTTCCCATTATATTCTCTTTAGTGAAATTTTAAAATATGGTGTAAACTCAAAGATAATGAGAATGCTGAATTTATACAACTGTAGTACTCTGAATTTCCTATAACATATGCAGAAACAACTAGGAGTAAGCTCGAAGAGACATATGAAAATATTTTACGATTCTGTTAATATTATCTTCTAAGCAAGATTTCTGAGAACCTTAGAGAATTAAATATTCAGACTTCTATTAAGATACTCCTAAAGTTGATATGTCAAAAAATTGGAACACTTTTCAATATTAATTTAACAAATATTTGCTGAGCAATATTTATTGCAAGACCTTGTTGTAAGTACTGGAGCTATAAAAGCAACCAGCACAAAGTCTCTGCCCTCTTGGAGTGATAACGCTAATGAGGAAACACAATAAACAGCTAAACAACAAACAGTAGTCTGAAGAAATTAAAGCAGGTAGGAAGAGAGCTTGATGGGAATGAGTGTTATTTCAGAAAATGGTCAGAGAAGGACTGACTGATATTTGAACAAAGACATGAATAACATGATGAAGAATAGTTCTTGGAAAGGTAGCAAAAATTACAAAGACTCTAAGGTAGGAAGATGAATGTTGGAGAAAGAATGTTGGTCAATGGGAATGAAGCAAGAGACAGTTTTGAGATTAAGTTGAAAAGTATGCCTCTCAGTTGTAAAACCCTCTAGGCCAGTGGTGTCCAACAAAATTTTCTGCAAGCATAGAAATGTCTTATATCTGCACTGTTCAATACAGTAGCAACTAAGCACTTATGGCGACCGGGCACTTGAAGTATAGCTAGTTTAACTGAGGAATTAAATCTTTTCTTTTCAAGTTTTTATTTAAATTCCTGGGCTCCGGAATTAAATTTTTGATCTCATTGAAATTTTAAAGATTTTATTGAATTTGAATGAATTTAAAATTAAGTTTAAATAGCCGCATGTGGGCTAGTGAGTACCACCTTCAAGAGTGCAGCTCTTGACAATGGTCTGGATTTTTTAAGTTAATTAATTTTAATTTTTAAATTTGAGTGTAGTTGACACACAATGTTACATTAGTTTCAGGTGTACAACGTAGTGATTTGATGAGACTATACGTTATGCTATGATCACCGCAAGTGTAGTTACCATCTGTCACTATACAGCACTATGACAGTACAATTGAAACCTTTCCCTATGCTGTGCCCCTTAGTTCCATGACTTAGTCATTCTATAACTGAAAGCCTATACTTTGCACTCCCCTTCATCCGTTTTGCCCATTCTCCACCCCTTATCCCTCTGTCAACCATCAGTTTGTTCTCTGTATTTATAGGTCTGATTCTGCTTTTTTGTTTGTTTGTTCATTTATTTTGTTTTTAGATTTCACATGTGGTCTGGACATTAGACATTAGTCCATGTGCATTGAGAGATCCTTAAAGGATCTAGGATAGTAAGTATGCAGATTTTATTTTCTTTTGTTTAGTACAGTCTATGAAAGTTTTAAAATATATTCTTGATTGTTACTAAACTCAAAATTTAATTTCATATTTTTCTCATTCATATTTATCATTCCATGGACAACAAATTTGTACTGAACAGATGTAAAGAAGACCTGAGGAAAGAAGGATGCTAAACAGAGTTTATGGTAACTGCTTTTCTTTGGAGTACCTCTAGTAGTTTGAGCAAAAATTATATATATATCATTTATCCCCTTTCTTCCTGGAAACTTGCATATAAGCGACCCACTCTCCTGCATCTTTAATTTTCTCTTGTTGTCAACAAATATGCCTAGGTTTCTCCTACTTCATTAAGAATCCTTTCTTTCCTACTTGTGAAAGCTCAACCTCCTTGGAGGCTCTTTTCTTCTCTAACACTGCGATCCCTCATTTCTCTCATCCACCTACATGACTGTCTTTGACCCTAATTTATTGAAGACATTGGTCCCTCCATTATCCTAAATTGATTTTAAGATCTAAAATCCATTCAAAATCTTGCTTCACAGCTTCCAGGAATCTTCAAAACTAATCACCTAAGAATCCAGTTGTTATTTTTAAAAAGACAGTAACCACAATATTTTATATCAGATGAAACAGAAATAACATATTAGACAAAAGAAGAATTACAAATCAGCAGAATAAGTATCTTCAAAATGATAAATGAAGATGAAATACAAGAAAGGACAAATTATTTTGACTAAAATCAAAATGGAGATAATTGGTATGCAAAGTATGAGGTTCGAGGGCAAAGAAAGAACATTTATAAAATTTGAAAAGTTTAAAAATAAAGATCTACAAAAGACCAATCATTAAATTTTTCAACCACACTGAGTGCAAGAAGACAATGGGATAATAATTGAAGTGTTAAAGGTAAAGAACTTTGAACTTAGACTTTTATAGCCCATAAGATATCCTTTAAGTATATGTGTGAAATAAAATTGTTCTAGGGCATAAAAACTCAGAAGTTTTAAGGCAAAAGTTCCTTTGAGAAACACTCTTCCAGGAGGTACTCCAGTTAGATGAAAAATAAAACTATGAAATCTATACAAAATATAAGAAAATGAGTAAATAGGGGCGCGTGGGTGGCTCAGTCAGTTAAGGGCCCATCTCTTAATTTCAGCTCAGGTCACAATCTCAAGGTCTTTTTTTTTAATTTTTTTTAATTTATTTGTTAGAGAGAGAGAGAATGAGAGATAGAGAGCACGAGAGGGAAGAGGGTCAGAGGGAGAAGCAGACTCCCTGCTGAGCAGGGAGCCCGACGTGGGACTCGATCCCGGGACTCCAGGATCATGACCCGAGCCGAAGGCAGTTGCTCAACCAGCTGAGCCACCCAGGCGCCCCATGATCTCAGGGTCTTGATATCAGGCCCCATGTGGGGCTCCCTGCTCAGCAGGGAGTCTGCTTCTCTCCTTCTCCCTCTCCCTCTGCCCCTCCCCTTGCGTGCATGCTCTCTCCCACCCTCTCACTCTTTAAAATAAATAAATCAATCTTAAAAAAAAAAGAAAAAGAAAAATGAGTAAATAAAAGTAAAATATTTCTGGCCTAAACAAGAATATAAATAGACACAGAGAGAGAGATACTATAAATCCTAATACAGGAAGATTGGTGAGAACAAGGAGATAAGACCATACTCAGGAAGAGTTTTACTTAAGGGTATGACATAGATCTTGCTGAACAATGATATAGATATAGAAAAAGATATAACTATTGCATCTTAAAAAGTTAGAGAACAAAAAAAGAAAAGAGAGGGCGCCTGGGTGGCTCAATTGTTAAGCGTCTGCCTTCGGCTCAGGTCATGATCCCAGGGTCCTGGGATCGAGCCCCACATCGGGCTCCCTGCTCTGTAGGAAGCCTGCTTCTCCCTCTCCCACTCCCCCTGCTTGTGTTCCTGCTCTCTCTGTGTCTCTCTCTGTCAAATAAATAAATAAAATCTTAAAAAAAGAGAGAGAGAGAGAAAAACATCCTGTTCAATGGAGGATAGAAAAAAATGACAAATAATGAAACAAACTACCGTAATTTTAAAACATTAAAAAAGTAATAAATCCTAATAGTAATAAGAAGAATATAAATGAGCTAACACTCGGCTCAAGAAACTCTCTCTCAAATTGGATTTTTAAAAGGTATTGTAATAGTTAAAATAAAACAAGAGAGAAAACTAAAAATAAGGTAAAAAAATGTACCACAAATATAACTAAATGGAAATCACAGTGGCAATGTTACTATTAGGCCATGTAAGATTCAAGATAAAATTTTAAAGGAAAAATAATACCAAATGATTATAAATTGATATGCACTAAAAATATCTACAGCAACAACCTGTCAGAATTCTATAGAAAAGTAAATCAACAATTGTAGTTGAATATTTTAACTCATTTCTCTCAAAATCATAAATCTGAATTTAGCCTTCTCTTCACCTGTTCTTTAGGCCAGGCCTTGAGTCTTGTCATCCTCTAAACCACTCCATTTCTAAAATCTTAAATTCCATGATCTCATCAAAACACAATCTTCCTTTTAAATCCAATCTAGACCCTGTTGCAAATCAACTAAACAACTTTCAGACCCTCTGTCTTTGCCTTATTAGTTTTCGGCCCAGTCATCCCAAACATCCCAGGTTTCAACCTCTCCACCTCCTGTCAATTCTGAAATCAAGGTGGAAGAATGGTTTCTGTCAACCATCCTACTGAAATTCCTTTTGTTGTTACTGTCCTTGACTGTGTAACAGCCAAATTCAATAGATATTTATCAGTCCTTATTTTACTAGACTTTGCGGCTACACTTGAGTGTATAGTTCAGTCCCTCCTCCTTCTTTAAACTAACTCTTTGGCTTTGATGACACCACACTGGCTATCTTTTTATTTTACATTTATAGACCCTCCTCTCTGACCACCTGCTAAATATTGCTGATGGCTCAATCCATCCTTGGTTCTCTGCTCTCCTTATTATATTCATGATCATCAGGAGCTCTCTTTCTCATGTGAACTTTTAAGTATTCCACCCCCTCCATGCTGACAATTCTCAAATCTCTTCTTCCGGTCTAGATTACTCTCCTCAAGGCAAAAATCTCTAGCTGTCACTGGCATCTCCATATGGTGGTCTCCCAGATACCTCAACTCTAGCATGTTCTAATGGAGGGTCTCATCATCTTTCACTGCATTATAGAAATAACCTCCCAACTGGCCCTCTCCCTCCAGGATTCCTCTCCTCGATAGCAGACAGAATGATATCACAGTCAAATCTGATTATGTCACTCCAGCCCTACGTTTAAACCTTTCCAGGATTTGAAATTGCTTAACATGGAGTGCCAGCCTTTCTGTGATTTGTCTATTGCCTACACCTCTGATGTCACCTTTTGTACCACCTGCCTCTCTTTTTCTGATCACTTCATTTTCTGCTGTTCCCCATCTTTATTCTCCACTCATGCTACCTCATCTGTGTAAATGCCCCACTAGTCACTTTCTCTAAGTACTACTACTGACATTTCTGAATAAGAAGAGCACTTTCATGCTCCTGTCTATACCATTGTCCTTTCTACATAATATTATAATTATTTGCTAACTTTTGTCCTCTCCCCTTCAACTTATATCTCCTAGGAAGCACAGCAGATAAGAAAACAAGACAATGAATAATTAAAACATAGCATGTGCTATGAAAATGCTGTAATAAATGCCATTTTTATCCACAGGATACAGGTGTTATTATGAAAAGTCGGAGAATAAGCACTCATCTACACAGGGAACCACCAATAAAATCACCTTAGGGAAGAAACCTGAAATGAATTTTGAAGAGTGAGTTAGAATTATCTCAACAAATGGTGGAGACTGAATGAGTAGATGGTAAAGAAAGGACATAAGAATAGAGAACCTGGCCACTGTGAGAACCACTAGTGACCCCACGTGGCTGAAGCACAGAGTGCCATGGGGCAACGGAATGATAAGTCTGGGTCAGGAGGCAAGGGTTAAGGATGGAAGGGTCCTGTGTGCCGTGAGTACAAATTTTATCCTGGAAAGGCCCAGGCTATAAAATTCTTTTGATTTTATATTTTACTGTCTCAGAGACCATTAATCACCAAGTTACTCCTGATACCAACCCCCAAATCCTGAATCTAAGGATGCTCTCACAGACTTACTCTGTAGTAGCTGTGGTATTTGAGGTCTTCTTTGAATTAATAAAATGTTCTCGGATGTCCCAGGAAGACAAGCTTAGGAGAAAGAAACACCAAAGAATGGCAAAAGCACCATCTCCTGAGCCCCCACTCTGCCTTTGTGTTAGGACCTTTAAAAATGCAAACATCAAAACAATACTTCTATTCGTTGGAATGCTGGGAAGAGAGGTTAAGGACTGAGACCACACGGCTAGTAAGTGGTGGTTCTAACCCAGTGCAGTCTGACTCTGAAGACTGCACATTGCTGCTTTGTGACATGGACTCGGAGCCTGAATCAAAGAATATTAGAAAATTGCAACAACATAGGATACATCTTAGCTGTGAAAGACAACAAGACTGTGAATGGTGGCCGTATGTGAAAATGTTCACATGATAAGTGGACTTCCAAGAGAACACACACTGATTAAAAGCACAACACACTGAATAAAATTATGATTAAATAGATATTAATGATAGAAGAAACTTTATATACACAGTCGAAGGTACAATGGTTTAAAAAATAGAAAAAAAACTCTGTAGCCAATGTGCACATCGCCCCAGAGCTCTGCACCTTTTGGGCCTTTCAGCCCTTTTCTGCAACTCCCTTTGATGGGCACCACCTACAAGACCACTAAAATCACATAAATTTCCTTTATTATGTAAAAAATTATTATAAAAGAAAAGGTAAGCTGTGTGCCTAGGGAATAAAAATGTTTACTAAGAAAAACTGAGAACACTGATATATGTTACTTATCTTTTCTTATTTTTTAGAAAACATATTTCATAAGATACATAAGATAATTTTCTGGGTTTTGCCTGGAACTGACTGGCATATGCATATCCTTTGGGATTTGTTTTTTCCTTTAGAAATCAATCTTCCACACAATGAAATGAACTTTGGAAGAAGGTGGTTGTAAGATAAATTGTATTGGTTGAGTTCTAATATTTACTATCAGATGATTTTCATCCTACATATATTTTTATGCCCTTCATAGAGTGAATAGAGAAACTAGCTCTACATTCATTTTTTTTAAATTTTTATATAGTTACTACAGAGAAGTATCAGTAAATATCCACGTAGAGACTTATGCTCAGTTTTAGGTTTCAATGAGTCCTGTTTTGTGCTGTTTCATATTTTATTAAACAGTCCACCAGAAACTTATTATTTTCCCTTTTCCAGATGAACGTAAAATTTGCAAAAAACAAAATCTTCCTCTACCACTTGGAATTCACATAATGGGACACTGAGCATTACTCTTTGGTGACTGGAGGCTACAGACTTCATAGCTAAAAAGCAGCGACCTGAAATCAGTAATAATCATCAGGAATGTAGATTGGGAGATTAAATGTGGGAGATCATAGGACCATGACCCATCTAACAAATAAAATGGAAAAAAAAAGAAGAGGAAATGAATAGAAAGCTCAGCTATGAATGTTGTTTTTCTTCACTGAGATATTAAAGGAAGTCTTTTTCCCAGTTCTGGTGGTTTGCCAGTTCAATTCATTCTTCAGTACTTTTCGAAGGTTCATTCATAAGCAGGTCATGATAAACATAAACTCCATGAAGGTACACATTCTTATTCATTTTGTATCCCTGGCACCTCTTAATTCCTGTTATTTAGTAAATGGTGGACAAGTATTTGTTGAAAATAGAAATGAATGAATAAATAATTAATAGTAAGAAATCCAAATGAAATTCCATAAAACATTAAGTGCAGTAAGATTTTTAGTCTTATTTTAGAGCACATATTGACTGTTATTTAAACAACTTCTTCCTGTTTTATTTTAATGGGTATTTAAGATAATATAACTATCGATAAATATTTTAACTAAATATACCAGAAAATCCTTACAAAGCTAAATCTTCCTAACATAAGTTACTGTTAGAGCCTATTTTGACTCACATAAATACATAACTGAAATGAAGTATTGAGAAATGAATTGTTATATTTTATTATGCATAGGAATCCATATGTGCATAAGTAACTATTATAAATGAATACATTAAAACATCCCTTTTGTTAAATGCATTTGCATTTGGAAAGTTTAGTATAAAAATGTAGACTTTAATCTCTTTAAATTTTTTTTCAAAAACTGATTATATATTTTCATAAGTAGCTATTAGACATACATGCCATTCCACATTGTCATCTTCCTTCCCAAGCGTTAGTAACTTGGTGAGTGGATTTCCAGTAAAGCCAGTGTCACTCTCGGGAGATGTGTGTCCATGCTGCACCAGAAGGGCACTGCTTGGTGTTGGAGGGTGTGACCGTTTAAGAGTCTGGTTGACAATCTGGTAGTCAAGGGTCATGAAGGGTTTTACTTGTTGTCTCTGGACCTTCTGTAGGTGGGACTTTGCAGGACTTTCCAGATGTGCTGAGACCTATGGAATAAAAACCAAATAAATACAATGTGTAGTATCATCTGGTGAATCAGAGTTCTACTTTAAACAAGTTAATTATGACAATAGACACATTACAACATCTACTTCTCTCAAATTTATGGTTTATGCTTCTGTCATAATTTACGGATGATACTAATGGATGATAGCTTTTAAGAAGTAATTTAAACTTACTAAAATAAAATATATATTTAAAACAAATAACTGAAAATTAAGGAACATATAAAATATTTAAAACAAATACTTTAAAACATATAAAATACTAAAAACTTACTAAAAACTGAAAAAAGTAATTTAAACTTACTAAAACTAACCAAGTTTTTAAGAATAGCTCTCAGTCTGCCTTGGGCTCAGGTCATGATCCAGGGTCCTGGGATCAAGTCCCGCATTGGGCTCCTTGCTCAGTAGGGAGCCTGCTTCTCCCTCTCCCTCTACTGCTCCTCCTGCTTGCACACTCTCTCTGTCTCTCTCTGTCAAATATATACATAAATAAAATCTTAAAAAAAAAACCTCTCAAAAACATGTAAGTGAACCAAAATTTGGAATAAATATATAAGCAGCAATACTTTTTGAGGTTTTAGAAAAATAAACTTAAAATAATACAAGGAAAATATAGTAATTTTCATATGATATATATTTCTTGGATTTTTTTATATTACATATAAATATTCCATGGAACATAATCACAACTATTTTTTATTAGATATTTTTTTTAAAAATTATCCATGATGAGCAGAAACTAAAAATATACATACCCCAGATATTAAGTATGATATTTTATGGGTGGTGAAAATCTAAGTAATTTTTTTCCATATTTTAAAAAAATTTCTATGCCAGACTTATTTTTATTTTTTATTTATTTTTTAAAAAGATTTATTTGAGAGAGAGAAAGAACGTGAGAGCCCGCCAGTGCGGGGGGGGGGGGGGGGGGGGGGCAGAGAGGGAGGGAGAGGGAGAGACTCTCAAGCAGACTCCCTGCAGAGTGTGGAGCCCACTCTGTGCTCCATCCCACGACCCTGAGATCATGACCCGAGCCAAAATCAAGAGTCAGATGCTTAACTGACTGAGCCACCCAGGCACATCCTATTTTTATTTTTAAAAATCTTATTTTTAGGAGCCCCTGGCTTGGTCTTGATCTTGGGGTTGTGAGTTTGAGTCCCATGTTGGGTCTAGAGATTACATACATACATACATACATACATACATACATACATAATCTCACTTTTAAGCCTTTCCATATTCTCACTTAATAATAATTGTGTAGATTATTATGAATTGAAGGAAGCATTCAGAGAAAAATCTAACCGCCGTCGTGTGCCAACTTAAACAACTGTCCAGTATTTTGAAATCCTTTTTCAAAACATAGCCTTAAAATTCTGGTTAGTTATCACAGTTAACAATATTACATTAAGTGTGTAAGTGCAATTTTAAGCATGTATGTCAAGCTTTTCCTTTAAAAGACTTTGAAAGTAGTATTGCCTGCCAGTCCTCTTTATATTTACTATGCTGTGATGTGGCTTCTAATACATTTTCCTCAAGTGGCCTATATATAAACCTATTTAATATTTCCCTCATGTGAAACAATAGTAAAGATTGCTGTACAGTGCTTATTTTTCCTTTTATTTCAGCTACACAAACTACTCCTTAAATCCTTTAACATGCATTAGCCCAGATAAATAGCCTTTTCAAAGTATTTTGCATTTAAATTAGCTGGTTTGGGGTACAATATTGTAGTAGTTACTTTAGTTTAATTCTGTTATGCTGACATTTTTAGCATTATTTTAATTGTACTACCATAAAATAACTTTTCAGTCATATAAAAAAGATGAAGATTGGTAATAAAGATTACACATATTACTAATTATATTGCTATGAGCTTTAAAGTTGTAAAATAACATTTCATTAAAATGCCAGTGATAATTTTTCTAGGGTAGCTATTTAGATCATCTTACAGTTTTAGTTAATCCTTCTTAATCTGTACACATTTACAAAATATACATTTTAAATAACATCTTCAGATTTACAAATCACACAATGTAACTGAAGACTAAGGAACATCGTATCCCTACAAACGAAAAATACCTCTTGCTCTAAGAAAAGTATGTTGAATCAGAATTTACAACATTCATTAACTAATTCATTTTTTACTTTTCATCCATTGACTCTAAGAGCTTTCATTAGAGTACTTATTGCATTTGGTGTTACATCAAGAGACATCGTAAATGTGATCCCAGGGCTCTACAGGCTTATGATCTAGTTGGGCCGTATTAATATCAACCACACTAAAAACAATAATGATAATAATAATATGCAACAAGTACCAGGATATTTACATTCATTATTTCCTTTAATCTTTGTTACAACCTTAGGAGGGAAGTATCATTAGTATCCCCACTGAACTATGTAGATGAAGCCGCAGACACAGAGAGGTTTAATAACATGTCTCTTATCGTTCTGCTAGTAAGGGATGGAGCTGGAATACAGAGCCTGCCTTCCTAAACACTATGCAATATTGGCTCTTGAGTAAATAATTGAAATGACTGGAGTACAAAGGAAAAGCTCAGTGGTGTATACAATGAATTAAAAATGCCACAAAAAGGAGTGGATTTTTAAAACGAATTATAAGAGAAAGTGGTTATAAATCAGGTGTTGGAAAGAAATGGCCTTGCACCGGGGCAAAGGGAGGGAAATCTCAAGTGCAAAAGATCAAAGAAAACAAGAAAGAAGACAAGAATTTGGGAGTCAGGGGCCCCTGGGTGCCTCAGTTGATTAAGCTTATGCCTTGGGCTCAGGTCATGATCCTAGGGTCCTGGGATGGGGCTCTGCTCAGTGGGGAGCCTGCTTCTCCCTCTCCCTCTGCTGTTGCCCCTGCTTGTGCTTTCTCTTGCTCTCTCTCCCGCGCTCTGTCAAATACATTAATTTTTTTAAAAAAGCCTCTACATCTGCAGCCAAATAAAGAGATATTTGTTAAAAAAAAAAAAAGTTGGGAGACAATTACTAATGTTAGTTGTGAAAAAGAACTCACATGAATATGTTTCCTTTCTCAAAACAAGACCATCTCCTCTGTAGACAATTCTATACAGAGCTGGAGTAAAATATAAAATGGAATCAACTCTAATTCTGCCTAAATTATTGAAGTTTTTTTTTAAAGAGAATTACAATGGGTTAGCAGGCAAAACTGAGGACCATCTGAGACCCCCATCTATAGAACATCTGTAGAGTGAGCATAAGGGACTAAAAGCTTAGTGGAGCAGGAAAGATTCAATGGAATGTGAAAAAACTACTCCCCAGAAAACCTACATTGTCTCCAATCATGAGCTGATTATCAGAACAATGAGACATCTAAGTTTTAAGCAGCAGCTAAACCATGTGCAGCCTATTTTTTAAAGATTTTATTTATTTATTTATTTGACAGAGAGAGTGCGCACAAGCAGGGGGAATGAGAGAGGGAGAAGCAGACTCCCTGCTTAGCAGGGAGCCCACAGGGCTGGATCCCAGGACCTGAGCTGAAGGCAGATGCTTAACCGACTGAGCCACCCAGGCGCCCCTTGTGCGGCCTATTTTAAAATACTTTTAAATTGCTTGGCATCTGAAGACACAGCCATAAAACTATTGGATTTCTCTTACTGAAGGTCCCAGTATTTTGTGAGATGAAGTAGATGAAATGATAGGTTGCCATTGTTCATTTATCCACTTATTCAAGAAATATTGAGTGCCAAGCGTATATGCGTCAAGTGGGACACCGAAGGTTGAAGGAAAATCAGCACAGTACCTGCCTTCATAGAGTTGTGGTCTAGTCAGAGTTTGGACAGGGAAGAAAAATACGAGATCTCTAAGGGCAAGGGCTGTGTTTTTCTTGCTGACCTCTTTCCTGCCATACATCCTGTTCATAACCCGGAGAATGGCACCCAGCAGGTGATTAAAAATGTGTCCACATGTGTTCAATGAATGAATGAATGAGTCATTGAAGTACAGTGTTTGAATAACTATGGTGACCACAGAGAACTTGGGGAATCTACTAGAAGAGCTGGTAAACCATAACCAGAATGTCAGTCTTCACCTAGAAAGCTGGAGCAGCTGTAGACTGTGATTTGGTTCATTGGACTGTCAAAGAGATTGAGACCACCCAAATGTAAGGAAATTTTTCTTATGAAAACAAATAAGTAAATCATATCCCCAGAACTTAGTACCATGCTTGAACATTATCACTCTGATATGCTGCTATTGCAAACTAAACATAACAATGGTCATGTTAAGTCTAATGTCTATATGCAGAACTCCGTTTTATTTCACTTAAAAGAATGTACTTATAGTTTCCCTATTTTCCAAAATGTTATAAATAAATATGAAGTGTGAATGTGGTAAGAGATATTTACACTAGGAAATGTTGGCTGAAGATTAATATTACAGTTGAGTACAAAAATTTACCCATGAGCATCCTGGCAGCCAAGGAAAAGGGAAAATTTAATATATAAGTATATATAATAAATTTATATATATACTACATATATATTATATATAAGGTGGGACCTTGTGATATTACAGACATCTGAGTATTTTCGATCTATAAATAAGTGTTGGTTCCATATGGGTCACCCTAATATATATTTCTTATTAAGTAATTAGATCATACCAGTTCTGAGGAAAGACAAATAGTTTTACAAATATCTGAGAATTTATAAACTGGATTTTTTCATGGAGGACTTGAACAAAATATTGAACAAAATCCCAAAAGGAGTTTTTGTAAAATATGCAATGAAATCCTTCATATGCCCATATTTTTAAAAATTGTCTTAAATTGGGTTACCCAGGAAATAAACTCTGAGACGTGCCTGCAGGAGGTTTGTTGGGGGGTGATTTCAGACCTTAGCCATAGTAGGGTGATGAGAGCAGGATCACGTACGTGGAAGAGTGGCTAGTTGTGAAGGGGATCGTCTAGGCAATGCACCATAACATCCACTATGTTTATTTCTGATCAAAGG